ATTTATCACAGGGGCCCAGTCTGATAAGCAAGGTCCGAGCACACTAACTAGATCAGGTCCCACAGGGGAGTTGGGTGGAGGAACGCCTGTTTTCCCCTTGTTCATGCACCACCGTGGAGCTGCAGGGTGCATGTGCAGAGGCAGAAACATAGGAGCCTAGGGAATTCTTTACTGAAAAATTCAGTGCCAAACAAGGTTACGCACCTATAGGGTTCAGGAGCGGCTGAATGGGGAATCCCAATGCGGGCCTGAATCTGGGATTTAGGTGCCTAAAGTGGCAGTTAGGTAGGGATAGATGGATAGATATCAGCTGTCCTGGCAATCTCTGGGAAGAGATAAACAGCTTTCTGCCTGGGAGGCTCACCTGATGCTAGGAAGGGATCGTCTTGGTGATTGTATCAGTACAGGACAGATCTTTAAAATGAACAAACAGGGATGTTTGCACTCTATGGAAATAGTTGCAGCCAAAGTGTGTTATGATGTAGAGGTGGGCAAAATAAATGGATTCTTTGTTTTCACTCCCTACGGTTTGAAATATTTCTGTAGCTTCCCCCTGTCCTGAAACTTTTCTAGTCTTATAAAAAATTTGTGATCTAAAATCAACTCAGTGGAAAATGTTGGACTTTTAATTTCTAAGCACCAAAATCTGATCTCTGAGATTGTAATTTGTATTGCAGAAACATCTAGCGACCCCAACCTGTATCGTGGTCACATGGAGCTAGGGGCTGCACATAGGGACGCAGTCCCTCTGCTGAGGAGTTTACAGTCTAAAACAGACAAAGGCTAGTACAGAAAGAGAAGTAAAGTGACTTGCCCAATGTCACAAACTGCAGGCCAATGACAGAGCTGGGATGAGACCCTAGATCACCTGGCTCTCACACCGGTGCCTTACCTACTAGACCACAGCACTCCACATTGGTGCTGGACAGATGTAGCTGTGGTGAGATTTGTATCATTGACTTTTTTTGCTTTTATAACTTTTTATTAATTTTTCCAAATACAACAAATAGACCAAAATACCAGATTCATCATAATACAGATAGTAAGTAAAGGAGGTTAAGCGAAAGGGGGTGGGGGAGGGAAGCGACATATCTATCGTCAGGCTCTGCATTAATCATAGAGCTCTAAGAAGTCAGCGCAAAGGCTGTGGAATACAGTCGTTGGTTGGCTGCGAGATCGGCCATATCACTGAGCCAGGCATTAACTTTTGGTGGGGATGCACTTTTCTATTTTTGCAAGATGAATGTTTCAGCGAGCAAAGCAGATTTGTATCGTTGGCTAAACCACAGTCCAACCTGCTGTCTAGAGATGAATGCAACACAAGTGTCTGTAATGAAGTTAATGAGGAGTAAGAATTTAAAGATGTTACTATACCTGACTTCCCCGAATGGCTGCGATTCCCTGGCAGGCTGCTGACCCAAGCAAGAGATGGCTCCAGACTAAATACTACAGCTGCAAATGTTTCTACCACAGGAAATGGCCTGCCTTTAGCTAAGAAACCTCCCTGTTGACTTCCACTTTCACAATTAATGGAATTGTTTTTAGCAATAAGGGCTTGAGCTAAATCTCACTGAAGCCAATGGAAAGACTCTCATTGATTTCAAGCGGCTTTGGATCAGGCCTACACAGACTCGGAAGGTTACTGTGAGCTAGGGCAAAGGCTCCTGAGTATTCCCAATATCACCTATTTCCAAAGGTATCCACAAAACTACGCCCTTTTTATCCTGTGAATCCTGTTGGAGACTTTTTTACCTCCCTGGACCAGATGGTAAAGCCAAGGAAAGACTCCAAATGCTGTGGTATTTTAGGGGCAACAGCTTACTTCGAAACCAAGGGAATCAACATGTAAGTGGGGAATGGTTTCACTTTTGTGGGGAACATTCCTGGCTTATACACTACCCCGGTGAAATGGGCTAGTGAAAGGATCTGAGTCCTCGCTCCCACTCCCTTTCCCCAGAGGCCTGCCTGACCTTGAGGACTCCCCTTCCTCCCTCCTATGTGGCAGAGTCAGTAACCCTGACAAAGCTGGGCCCAGGATTCCTGAGTGGCTCGACCCCCCAGTCTTGTCGTGGTCGCTTAGGACAGGGGCTAGGGTGTCCCCACTCCAGGGTGCTCTCTCTGCACTGGACACTTCCCTGACCCACTGATCATTACATACAGCTAAAGCAAATACAATTTATTAAACAGCAATCTCCCTGCACTGGGCCCACTGCCCAGGGTCCCCCTCACTCTCTCCAGCGGCTCCAGACAGCTCCAGCACGGCTGCTGCTCTGCCTCCAGCTCCCTGGGCTGCTTCTCTGGCCCCTCTGCCTCTGGTTGCTGCAGCTCTGCTCCCAGCACAGGTCTGCTCTCTGGGCTGCTTCTCTGGTTCTCTCTGGCTGGCGCGGCTCTGCTCCCCAGCTCGGCTCAGGCTCGGGCTCTTGCTCTCTCCTTAGCTCGGCCCCACTCTGTCTGACCCAGGTAATTCCAGCTCACCCGGAGGGTGGGACCCCCTGGCCTCCTGACTCCCTGATTAGCTGCCCACCATGTCAATCAGGCTGACTTGGAGCATTGGCCTCTCCCTATTGCCCCTGGGGACTGTCAGTCTCATGGTCCTGATTTCCCATCAACTCTTCCCCTTTCTTTTGGTACTGGGAACTAGCCAACCAAAACCCCCCACTGAGTTTTAGTAAGGAGCCAACAGTCCCCTCACGAACACATTGATAAAGTTTTTACACTTGGATTAGAAAGTGGATTTGCTGGTTTTGGGGTAAAAGTGCAAATTAATTAGAATTCCAATAAAACCAGAGAGAACGCTGGAGTGTGCCCATGCAGTGAACTAGATTCTCTTTCTGTCACTGCCTGTCAGACAGGCAGAACTTCAGAGGGTAAAACACAGGGTATAAAAGCAGTCCGTACATTGGACTGCAAAACTGACCAGAATGCTGGCTCTGGGTTAATCTCAGTTTCGCCTTAAATACAGACTTACCAAACTAGGCAAAACATATTTTGTACCCAATAAAATATGTGTTATCATTCAAGAGTTACTTCAATCTCATTTGCTTTAGCAACCACCCTTTTTTAGAAGAAGAGTTATTTTATGTGTAGCCAATCATTTTAGTTTATTATTCATTTATTGTGTAATGTTATAATTAATCAATATGTTATATCATATATATTCATTGTATGTTAATTAGAGTTAATTTTTAGGATTATAAAAGGATAAGATTGATCCGTATTTAGAGGAGCCAAGTTTTAGATGTAAGACAGGCTGAAACGCAAGGCCTGTAGGCTGAGGCTGTAAGATTTTAGCTTAGCTATTTTAGGCCTTGGAGACAAGAAACGAGGACCATAAGTAGGGTTGCCAACTTTCTAATCACACAAAACTGACCACACCTGCCCTGCCTCTTCCACAAATCCCTGCCCTGCCTCTCCTCCGAGGCCCCGCCCCTTTCTCTCCATCCCCCCCCTCCGTTGCTCACTCTTCCCCACCCTCACCCACTTTCACCAGGCTGAGGCAGGGGGTTGGGGTGCGGGAGGTGGGTGAAGGCTCTGGCTGGGGTTGTGGGCTCTGGGGTGGGTCTGGGGATGAAGGGTTTGAGGTGTGGGAGAGGGCTCCAGGCTGATGCAGGGAGATTTGGGTGCGGGCTCCAAGTGGGGCCAGAAATGAGGGGTTCAGAGTGTGGGAGAGGGCTCCAGGCTGGGGTAGAGGTTTGGTGTGTGTGTGGGGGGGTGAGAACTCCAGCTGGGTGTGCAGACCCTGGGGTGGGCCAGGGATGAGGAGTTTGGGGTGGAGGAGGTGGCTCTGGGCTGGGGCAGGGGGTTGGGGTACAGGGGGGGTGAGGGCTCCGACTGGGGGTGTAGGGTCTGGGGTGGGGCTGGAGATGAGGAGTTTGGGGTGCAGGAGGGTGCTGGGGCAGGGGTTTTGCCGGGGGTGAGGGCTCCGGGAGGGAGTCTGGATGCGGGAGGAGACTCCGGTCTGGGGCAGGGACTTGGGGTGCGGGGTCCCAGCGGGACTTAGTGCGGCTCCTAGGAAGCAGCCACCAGGTCCCTGCAGTCCCTAAACACATGGGCGGCCAGGGAAGTGCTGCATACTAACCTGCATGTGGGACAGAATTCTCTCCCTTTGGGGCATTCAGCGTTTTGCCCTGCCCCGGCAGATGGAAGTGTTCATTGGGGGAGAATTCTGGTAGAGACTGACCAGGGTGACAATAAGAAAAGGAGTACTTCTGCAACAGGGTGACAATGGTTGTGAGCTGGTCTAGTGTTGCTGGCTCCTTTGCTTTGGTACTGGAGAATGGCTTTACTTTAAATACTACAGTCTTTCACCTCTGACGAACCCTAACAAGGACCCAGCACAGCCGTGATTTTTCTTTCATGTCCTCGCTGAAGTTACAAATATGGCCCACCCCAGCTTGGCCCCATTTAGTTATTAACACGGGCATGTTGTTTTTTTCCCTTCCTGCTTATGCTTCACTTCCAATCTGCAAGACCCTTTCTGTGAACTTCAATGGGACATTTAAAGCTAAGAGAGCTGGACTGAGCTCTCTAAAAATTAAACGATCCAGGAACTGATTTAACAGGTTTCCTCATGACTGTTTACGCCTCCCTCCTCCAGTCACATTTGGAGGTGCACAATGAGACACACTTTGTGATATTTTTCTCCATGGTGGAGATAGCTCAACATTTCTTTATCAGTCTGTTCCTTTGTATTGATCCTGGGCGTGAGCATCCTAGTGGTTCTCTTTCTCTTCCTGTCCTAATTGCCTTTGGTGCACAAAATGGGCGCAGGAAGTGGAGGGGGGGCAGAGGGAAGAGGAGAGTTTGCAGAGCTTCCTGCAGCCTGGGGGAGAAATCTAGGGTGGGTCTGACGTGGCCCTGGCTGCTGTACAGGGGAAGAGGAAGTCCCATCCTCCCCACCCCAGCCTGGACTAGCAGTTGAGCCCGGATCAGGGTAGGAGCCACCAGCTGGGTCTGTAATTAGGATAATGAAGAGTAAGAATTTAATGCTGTTATTATACCTGACTTTCCCAAGTGTGTCTGAGTCCCTGGCAGGCTGCTGTCCCAAGCAAGAGTTGGCTGCAGTTGTAGAACTTAAGCTGCAGTGTTCATAACACAGGAAATAGTTTGACTTTATCTAAGAAACCGCCCTGCAGACTTTCACTTTCAGAATTAACGGTGTTTGGTTTTTTTAGGAAATAAGGGCCTGATCTAAATCTCACTGAAGTCAATGGAAAGACTCTCATTGATTTCAACGGGCTTTGGATCAGGCCTGTACAGAGTCAAAATGTTACGACGAGCTAGGGCCAGGGCTCCTGGGTATTCCCAATAACACCTGTTTCCAAACGTATCCACAAAACTACCCCCGTTTCATCCTCTGTGCTTCCTGTTCTAGGGTTCTTTATTTCCCTATCCCAGATGTTAAAGCCAAGCAATTTTGCTACGTTGGCTCTACTGTTACCAGCAATGTAGATCATTATGCTGGGCTCACTAGTACAATTGGCAAAGCAGTCAGGAACTTTGGCCTTGTGCAAGACGGAGCCTGGAACAATAACAAATTGTCAACTAAAGTGAAAATCAGTATTGATGAGACATGTGCTTTATCCAATCTTCTAGATGGCTCAGAAACATGGACGACTTACGCCAAACATACTAAAAGACTAAATAGTTTTCATATCAGATGCTTGTGTAAAATTCTTTGAATAAGATGGCAAGACAGGGTGACAAATGTGGAAGTGTTAAATTGTGCTGGTATGTCATTCATGGGAACATTGATTAGTAAGAAAAACTCCGGTGGCTTGGACATGTCAAGCGAACGCCGCATTACAGGATCCCGAAGAGTGTGCTGTCCTCTGAAGCTTGCGGAGAGTCTAGAAAGAGAGGCAGGCCACTGCCCAGACTTGGGGATGCTTTCAAAGATGACTTAGCATCCTTTGGAATCTCTGTGGATGATTGGGAAAGGAGTGTAGAATACTGCTCTGGTTGGTGCAGTCAGCTTGTAGCTGGAGCGAGGAGTTGCAAGACAGACTGGATCAAGCTTTGTGATGGCTGGCGTCAGAGGAGGAAAGAATCAGCTGCTCGGATTCAGAGCCTTGCTCGTGCGTGGGTGTGCCCCACCTATGGAAGGAACTGTCACTTGTGTACCCAACTCCAGCAACAGCAGTTGTTACAAATAATGACCATCCATCAGCTCACCCAGGAATGGTCTCTCCAGGAACAGCAGCTCATATATCACATGGTGGCCCTTCTGTGACCTCCCACAATGACCGGGTCTTCTGCTGGGGGCCGATGGATGTAGCTCTGGTCACTTCAGCCATACCGATACAATGAAGATGGGTTCCGAAGATGACCTAGATGCCTTCCTTGAGATGTTTGAATGGGCCGTGGTAGTAATGCAGGGGCTGCCAGAACACTGGGTGGTCCTGGTGTCCCCATGTTTGACTGGAGCAGCCCAGGTCAATCATTGTAGCCTGGATCCCAAAGCAGAGCAGAATTATCGACAAATCTAAGTTGCCATTTTGGACCATTTAGTGATCTCTGAAAAGACCTTCTGCCAGCACCTCCAGGAACAGACATATCCCCTCTGAGCCCAGCCCTTGGGCGTAGCACAGAAACTGCAGGACTCCTGCTAGTGGTGTCTAAACCCAGAAGCCAGGATGGGGTCCAAGTGGCTGAAAGGGTCCTACTAGAACAGTTTGCCCAGATGCTCCCAGCTGGGAGTAGGGGCTGCATCTTAAGACACCGGCCTGGATGGTGTTTCGTTGCTGGGTGTGTTTCCACACTCCGTTTGTTATGTAGTTCAAGCAGCAGAGGCCCAGCCTGCAGTGCTGTGGGTCAAGTGTGTTTCTTTTGCACTGCGTGGTCCCTTTACAAAACCAGTGATGGTCTCACTAATTCCGTAAACACGGGTATATTGAGAACCCCTGGTCTAGACCTGTTCCCTTGCATTTGATGGTGTTAAACTGTGCTTTATTTGATAGTGCCAAGCTTACCAAGTGATCCATATAACTATATCACTGACTTTGCTTTTGTTGTTTGTCATCCCACCAACGTTTGCGTCATCTGTAAATTTTACCAGTAAAGATTTTGTATTTTCTATCAGACCATTGATTAAAATAATTTAGTGTTGGGCTGAAAATGTGGTCCCTGCAGGACCCCACTAGAAACACCCCATCTCATTTATGATTTACCACTATTAACAATTACGTTTTGAGATCTATCAGTTAGCCAGATTTTAACCCATTTAATATGTGCCATTGATTTAGTACAGTGCTAGTTTTGAAATCAGAATTCCCTGCAGTACTAAGACAAATACTTTACAAAAGTCCACATATATTACACCAACAGTTACGATCAGACTTGTAACCTCATCAAAGAATATTACATTTGCTTCACGTAACCTGTTTTCCAGGAAATTGTATTGATTGGCATTAAATATAGTTCGAAGTTAATATCATAGAATCATAGGACTGGAAGGGACATTGAGAGGTCTTCTAGTCCAGTCCCCTGCAGGACAAAGTATTATTTAGATCATCCCTGACAGGTGTTTGTCTGACCTGCTCTTAAAAATCTCCAACGACAGAGATTCCACAACCTCTCTAGGCAATTTATTCCAGTGCTTAACCACCCTGTCAGTTAGGAAGTTTTCATTTCATATTTCCATTCTTTACAGAGTCCCATAACTGCTGTTCTGTTTTGCCTGAAATCAGTGTCTAAGCCAGGCCTATACTGCAATTACTTGGATCATCCCATTTACCCTTTTTAAACTAGCAGTCTATAGCCAAGTTCCTAAGGGAAGTGATGGGAACCACATCGCTGGGGCCATTTAACAATGGAGGAAAAGAGCCCTAGAAAATATAGGGAACAAAATAAAATAATTCAGGAAACATTTCTGCGCAGTGCCCTGGGAATGGACTGGATGGAATATCCTTGCATGGTTCCAGCTCCTATAGCCATGATGTTATGCAAAAGCCCTTCGCTACTACGCAGCTGAACTCTGCCTAACCCTCTACCTTCGGAAAGGAGATGCAGTCTAGGTTTGTAGGACAGATCTGTGGCTAGCCAAGTGTAGAAATACCGTGAGAATGTATTAGGAGAGGCCCTCTCATCAGCCCAACTGTGCATAGAACAGAGACTTCCTCAGGAGTAATTGGTTAAGCAAGGGTGCAGAGGAAATGCAGATCACGTACTTAAATTACAGGTTTCAGAGTAGCAGCCGTGTTAGTCTGTATCCTCAAAAAGAAAAGGAGGACTTGTGGCACCTTAGAGACTAACAAATTTATTTGATCAGAAGCTTTCGTGAGCTACAGCTCGCTTCACTGGATGCATTCAGTGGAAAATACAGTGGGGAGATTTATATTCACAGAGAACATGAAACAACGGGTGTTATCATACACACTGTAACGAGAGTGATCACTTAAGTTGAGCTATTACCAGCAGGAGAGCGGGGGGGGGGAGGGGGAGGGGAACCTTTTGTAGTGATAATCAAGGTGGGCCATTTCCAGCAGTTGACAAGAACGTCTGAGGAACAGCGCGGGGGGGGGGAATAAACATGGGGAAATAGTTTTACTTTGTGTAATGACCCATCCACTCCCAGTCTTTATTCAAGCCTAAGTTAATTGTATCCAGTTTGCAAATTAATTCCAATTCAGCAGTCTTCTCCTTGGAGTGTGTTTTTGATGTTTTTTTGTTGAAGAATTGCCACTTTTACCACACCACATGATCCATTGTCTATAGCCAAGCTCTACGATACAACCGCATTTGTTCCAACCCTCAGACAGAGACAAACACCTACAAGATCTCTATCAAGCATTCTTACAACTACAATACCCACCTGCTGAAGTGAAGAAACAGATTGACAGAGCCAGAAGAGTACCCAGAAGTCACCTACTACAGGACAGGCCCAACAAAGATAATAACAGACCGCCACTAGCCATCACCTTCAGCCCCCAACTAAAACCTCTCCAATGCATCATCAAGGATCTACAACCTATCCTGAAGGATGACCCATCGCTCTCACAGATCTTGGGAGACAGGCCAGTCCTTGCTTACAGACAGCCCCCCAACCTGAAGCAAATACTCACCAGCAACCACACACAACACAACAGAACCACTAACCCAGGAACCTTTCCTTGCAACAAAGCCCGTTGCCAACTGTGTCCACATATCTCTTCAGGGGCCACCATCATAGGGCCTAATCACATCAGCCACACTATCAGAGGCTTGTTCACCTACACATCTACCAACTGCTGGAAATGGCCCACCTTGATTATCACTACAAAAGGTCCCCCCACCCCCTGCTCTCCTGCTGGTAATAGCTCACCTTACCTGATCACTCTCGTTACAGTGTGTATGGTAACACCCATTTTTTCATGTTCTCTGTGTATATAAATCTCCCCACTGTATTTTCCACTGAATGCATCCGATTAAGTGAGGTGTAGCTCACAAAAGCTTCTGCTCAGATAAATTTGTTAGTCTCTAAGGTGCCACAAGTCCTCCTTTTCCTTTTACTTTAATTACAGAAATCTTTGGATTCTCAATTCCCTTCCTGTGCATTGTGACATACACGTTCTGTATCTTGGGCCTGAGATGTAGCGATATGAAAACTTTTAAGCAGTTTCCAGTTACTCTAGACTTCGTTTTCTTCCCCTAGAGCAAACATTTCACCCTTAGCATAGAGGTGTCTCCGTTCTGCAAGCTAGTTCTGTCAAAACCAGTGTTGCTGTCTGTTTGTACTTAGCTTTGCAAAGAGAAATGATGCAACAAATTCTGTGAAGTGTCTCTGCAACAGCCTCTTCATTCGCAGCCGCCTCCCTGAGTCTCAGATTCCTGTCAGACAGGCGCCGCGCATTCTGCGTGAAGGAGAGGGTCCGGGGGTCTCTGCGGGGAACTGTGACTCTCTGATGCTGTGAGGTGGGCCGGGCATCTCGGTATCCTTTGCTGCCTCGTCCCTCTCCCTCTGGGCTGTGAGCTCGGGCTGCCATCGGGTATAGGGGCACCAGTTGAATAATACCGCGTAGGGCCCCATAAATCCTAAGGACGGCCTGGCACAGGACAAATGGCGAGGGGAGGCCTCAATTCACAACCGTGGCCGGAGGGACTCAG